AATACATTGGATGTGATTTACAATACAACCAATTAACTTGTACACAGTCAACTCCATAGGCCACAATAGAAATTTTGAATCTTACAAATCACTTCAAGCAAATGTCAAGAACAAGGGAATGCATTCTGATTATGGTCAAAACCAATGACCTATGTCACGTTTCAAGACAAGACAGTTAATCTTCGTTGTGTGGCAGTGTTGACTCACAGTTGGCTATACATGAAGCTTTGCCTACATCATTCCAAGAGTTATTGAAATACTTCGATCATTTCCTAATATATGAGAATAATGAGTGTTGAGAATGTATATGTTCAGCATCTTGAATGTTGTTGTACACAAATACCTCAAAAATCCATACAAGATAGACAAGAAATACTGGATACCACTCTACATACATGGAGGACTTTACCTCTACTCTTCTCTTGGGGGGAGAGAGGAGTAACATGTGACTGAGAGCATTATTAGGAGTGCAAGGAGTCCAAACGAAAATAAACTTATTTGTACATATCCTGCAGGGACTACAGAGCTTAAATTAAAGTTGCCTTTACATATCCTGCATGGTGTACATAACTTAGTCCTCTAGAGACTCTTGTCTGGGTATCCTTGAATTTTTTAGGGACAAGAATAATAAAATATAAACAAAATGAAGATTTAAAAAATATTAAGTCTTTAAAATAGTAAGAGGAAAAGAGAGATTGAAAGAAAGAAATATGGTGACATAAGAGTGAGAGTCATTTATAATTGGGTCGCATAAATTAACCAACTAAAACAAACACAATACTTTTAATGCTTTTATTATTCTTGACGAGATAGTTCATTAGAACTACTACCTTCAAAGTTGTAGAAGTCATCCAAGTAATGAAGCATACTTAGATATGTCATTTCCTTTGGCAAGTAAATTGGTGTATCCATATTATACATACACAAACAAATATTCTCTAATCATATTTTGGGATAATGATGGTCCTATTATTTATACGTGAGTCTCTCATCCATACACAGTTGGTAAGTGATCAACCATTGGATGAAAGTATAATGGACATAATCTCAATTTTACCTTTTCAAGCATCTTATATTACCAGCTCTTGGAAAGACTTTTTCCTTCCCAGCATTTTATTTTACTAGTTCTTGGACAAAGTACACTTTGATCCCCTCAGTTACGCTGTGAAGGAAGAAGTCTTTGATCCGGTCATTAATTACATAAAAAGTTGTAAAACTTCGTCTCCTAAAGTGATTTTGTCACAATCTAATGTCACGTAGATATTTTCCGTCCTAAACATGATTGACTCTTTATGAGACAATGTTAGAGGGCTTTTTTGGCCAAGTTTTGGTAACTTAATTTTAATTGTAAATTAGTCTACGATTTTCTTTTTTGGTATATAAATTAATTTTAGTACTATCAAATTTTTAGTATAAAAAAATGTCTTTCGATTTTAAAAAAAAATTTGAATGCGGTCTCTATATTGGTGAAAATGTTAAGGGATTGGTTAGTTTCATATTCAATGATCATCCTTACACCCTTTAAAATTTAAGTTTACCCTCATTTAAATTTGGATATCTCCTTCTTTAAATTTGAGTTTGTCTATTGAAGTCCATTATATCAAATCAAAATTTTTACTCAAATGTTAATTTCAATTTGAATAATGGTTGGAGATGATTTTATATCATTGTTTTGACTTTTCAACAAGAACCTAATCCAAAACAAAAAAATTTTGGTAAGTGAATTTTTTTTTAAAACACAAAATCCTATTGGTCTAGGCCTCTAATGGATTATTTGTAAGTGTATCATGCGTATTGAATTATTTGCAATAAAACATATAGCTTTCAAAACAGTTGTTCTTTTATCCTTAGTATTTTGGGTTTGATATAGATGGGTTGAAAATGCCTACACTCAAGCAATTCTTGTCCTTACTCGAATTATCAAAACCTATGATTTAATTCAAACAAGTCAAATCAAACGAGCATAAATTAATATCAATTTATCTTACCTCTTTCATATTCAAAAACACGTGTTAAGTGCATCCTTTCAACCATTGAGGACCTTTGCTCTAGCCATACATCCTTTTTCATGTTAATCTCTGCATTCATAAAACTGAATCTCTCATTTCTAGACTTCTCTGTAAGGGTTTTTTTTTTTTTAAAGTCACTTCCCAAGAAGGTTGCAATAGTTCCTTCATACATTTTGCTTTTATAGTACTACATAGTCATGCTACTCCAGAAATCGTTCAGCAATTCAAAGCCCCCCAATTCACAAGTGTATCAAAGATATTATCAGTTCTCTTTGGTGCATAGATCCATTAGGTTTCACTGTGAACTACCTCCAAATAAGATGACATCTCACCTTCAAAACTACACTATAAAACTATAATACTCCATTAAGAGGCAAAGTTTCAATAACACATACCTGAACAAGAAGAAGAAGAAGCAGAAGATAGACAATTTTTTAAATGGGTTCGTCGAGCAGTGATCTTCGTCGGAGCAGTGGTCTTCGTCGGAGTTAGCTACCTACGCTTGAGTGGACTTCGTTGGATGAGTGGAGATGGTAATTGAGAGATTTGGGTTTATTGGTAAAAGGTATTTCGGATTTGGGTAACTGTGATCTTTGTTTTTACGAAATCCTTCGCTACAACAAGACGTGGAGTAAATGATCTTCTTCGTCGGAGTTTCCTGCCTACGTCTGAGTGGAATTCATCGGTTGGAGTGGAGAGAGAGTGACCGAGATATTGGGTTGATTGGTCGGAGGTTTTCCGATTTGGGTAGGGATGGAGGTATTCCGATTTGGGTAACTGAGAAAGTAAAAAGGATTTGGTTAATTAGGACTTTTCTAATTTTGAGAAGGAGGATGTATATTACCGGCATATATCGTCATTGTCAATGACGTTTTTAAGTGAATAATTTAATGTTGGGTACACTGATTTTAACGTTTAAAAACGTCATTGCAAATAAAGTTTTCTTCCCTATATTTTTTATAAACGTTTGTTAGGGATCCGTTAGACATTCTTGTTACAACACGTCATTACAAATAACGATTTTAAAAACATCATTAAAAATGATGTTTTTTGAAAAAAATATTCAACTTGAAATCGTCATTACAAATGACATTTTAAAAAAAGAGCTAAATTTGAAAAATAAATTAAAATTGACTGAATTTTAGAAATAAGATTTTTAGGGGGGGAAACCTCGTTAAACAATAAACTTCTGAATCAGATATTGAAAACTACAGGAAGGAAAAGGAACAAAAATAGTAATCATTACTGTAAGTATCCAAAGGAACCCCAATACTCCCAGAATCCATCAATCTCATCAGCACTCCAAAGCAATGCACAGACCCCTCTCAAAACAGAAATGATTATCGTACTGAAAAATTTAATTCGATATTATATCGATTATAATATAATGATTAATATAGAATAATTTTAATTAAACATAACTTAACTTTTAGAAAGTGTAATTTGAGATTCAAAAGGTACAACTTGACCTTTAAAAAATGTATTTTTTATGATCGATTACAAAATTTTATGATCGACTACACCCTTTTAAGTTATAATTTAGATCATTATGATTCACCTTTGAATGTCATAGTGGTTACCTCCCTAAACACAACCAGAATCAGTAAAATTTCATCAGTTCACCTCCCTCTCTCCCCTCTCATTCATTAGCATAAGAACCCATTTGTTATGATATTTATTCTTTCCCTTGAAAGATTGCATTTTCAGTGTCCTTTCAATATCTTTATGCATAATAACAACATGTAACAGGAAAAGTTAGATATTCCTCTATGGTCACAGATTCACAAGCAGACAATCTTAAAACTGGGAGTGTGCAAAAGATATCCTACTTTTCTCTTTCTTTCTATAGATGTCAGAAACTCATTCAGCAGAACAATTTATCACATAGGGTTCTTTCCACTGTGAGAGAGAGAGAGAGAGAGTTGAAAGTATTTTTACTTTTTGAGTGTCCCAAAGACATGCAACAGTAGGCATTAAAGCTGAAGGAGTGATGCTTTTGGTTGTTGTTTTGTAGTGAGGGAAGACGGGGACCATCTTTTCCTTTCACTTTCAGCGTTTTCACTTGGTTAATTAGCTCCGCTTGTCTGAAGAGTTTGCAGAGGTCTATGTTTCTAGGTTTTTCAGCTTTCAGATGCATATATGTCCATGCAGGCCTTGAGAGAGAGACAGAGAGAATCTTTACTTTCTTCTTTCAATGAACATTATCAAATTTGCCTGATTGTCTTGCTTTGCTAACTCTATGAATGTAGTTTCCTATCAGGGTTTGAAGTTTTCTTTTTTTGAGTTAGGGTTTTGAAGTTGAGTTGGCAAAGAGTTAATAAAAGATGAACTTGTCAGCTTTCCTGATACACACACACACACATGTATATTAAAGTTATTGAACACATCTAGTTCCATCCATATCTTCCTCTTGCCTGTGGACTGAGGTAGTTTCCTGATCATATTCAAAGGGTTGATTATCTCAGGTTTACTTACAATCTATTTTTGCTATTTCTTGTTTGTCCAAAGTGTCTTCCATTAATATAAGGACCAAAAAGCCTTGATTGCTCTATGGTTCTTCTGCCTAGTAACTCCAAAATCTCTTCTTGTTCTTTTTCTTCAGTTGATTTTGGTGAAGATTCTTGCGGATTTTCAAATTCATTGTTGTGGGTTATATTTTGAATGGTGTTCTTTCCTCCAACAACTCATTTGTGCCTCTATTTATTCTAGTTCCTTAACTCTCTTAGAAACTTGCTACTTTTTATTCATAGCACTCGAGTTAGCTCCTTTGCTTTGACAAGAGCATGGTTTAATTATCTGCTACCCACAAGTTAGAGTTATAGCTTCTAGGGCGCCTTTTTCTTAAGCATTTCTCCCTCCATCTAAGGTCAGGGAGGAACCTGAGGGAAAGACTGCTTTCTTACCAATTAGAAGGAAGAAAGAAGGAGCCGCTGGTCCTGGGAAACGAAGTATTAGATGCACTATTCAGTTGTTCTCACTAAAATCGCCGCAAAGACAACTTAACAATTGGTTGCCCCAAATCATTGACCATATAGTTAGTTTTCATTACTTTTAGTATGGTTTCACAAGACTCTTCCCCAAATCCAACCTCGAGTATTTTTCACCAATTCATGATCTCAGAGTCACTTACTAGTGAAAACCAATTTCAAATCCCACAGTTTGATCCTTATGGAACTGACTTCAGAGGCAGTAGTGAATATCCTCAGTCTCTTGGTGTGTTGCCCACCATTCATTCTCTTCAAGTAAGGGTGTCTGGATCCATAGACCTTGTTCATGCTCCTCCAATAGCAGAGGCATCTGAGATCAACCATGGTAGACACTTCATGAATGAACATAACCAACAAACCCAAAGGCTCTCATTGTCCCTTGGTTCTCGTATGCTTGTTCCCTCTGTCCAATTCGGGCAGAGACCCACCAATTCAAGTCTCATAGTTCCCACAGGTAGTGCTTTTGCTTCATCTTCCACCTCTTATGGAACAGAATCTTTAGCTATTTCCGTTGGCAATTCAAAATTTCTGAAACCAGCTCAATCCCTTCTGGAAGAATCGGTTAAAATTGGTGGGAAAGCCATTGACATAAGCAATGAGAAATATATCAGAAGCTTATCTCCTAACAGCAAAAGAGGCTCACTTGGATTAAGTTCTCAACTTAAAGCAGAGTTATGCAACAGTGGATTGTCTGCTGAGAAACATGAACTCCATGTTAAACTTTCAAAGCTTATTGCCTTGTTGGAAGAGGTGAGTCAAAAATAGCATTGAATTGGTACCTTTTGGCAATGCTCTTTTTTCGCTTTTATCGCTTTTTAAGTAGTGTTTGGTTTTGTATATCTGTTTTGAGCTTATTCTTTTTCTCAAATTTAATCGCCTATGGAGCACCCCTTCAAGTTTCAGATCGATATTGAAGTCCATATCCTGTTTACGGATACTTCAGATGTAGAGACAGTTACTTAAGAATGCAGGAATTTGATAGATTCAGAATTTCATTACTTTTTCGGGGTATTTCTGTGGAATTTTCAGGTTGAGAGAAGGTATGAGCACTACCATCATCATGTTGAAGAATTGGTTTGTTCATTTGAAGTGATAGCAGGTGTAAATTCAGGCAAGTCTTACACTGCTCTTGCACTTCAAGCCATGTCCAGACATTTCTGCAGCTTAAGAGATGCAATTCTCTCTCAAATCAATGAAACAAGAAGAGAATTTTCGCAAGATATGCCAAAAATCAGCACTGGTTTGTCACAACTTAGCTTGTTTGATCGAGAGAATCGACACAATCGAATATCTCTTCAGCAGCTTGCACTGATCCAAAGCCCACGGCAACAATGGAGACCTATCAGAGGATTGCCCGACACTTCTGTTGCAATCCTTCGGTCGTGGCTTTTCGAACATTTTCTCCACCCGTAAGTGGTATTTGCTTAACTTAGCCACATTGGTGATGCGATGCTCTAAAGTCTCAAGGATTAAACTTTTGTTTGGTGCATAGTTTTGATCAACTTGAAAATGAAAATATCTCTAAATATCTGAAAACAGACCAAAACATCATGAAACAAGTAGAAACATTCTGAAACATAGGCCAAAACATCACGAAACAACTATAAACATTCCTAACACAGGCCAAAACATCATGAAACAAGTAGAAACATTCTGAAACATAGGAATTTCTTATATATCACCCAGTGATTTGTTTCGATTTCCACCAAAACCAAATTATTCAGCCGTTTGGTGGAACTAAACGACGTTTTGATCCTTGGATGTTTTGTAATTCTTTTGAATGCTAGTTGATGGTTCTCTAACAGTTATCCAAATGATTCTGAAAAGCTTATGTTGGCATCACAGACAGGCCTATCCAAGAACCAAGTAATTCTCTCTGCCCTCTGAATTCAAACTTTATATATTTNTTCTCAAATTTAATCGCCTATGGAGCACCCCTTCAAGTTTCAGATCGATATTGAAGTCCATATCCTGTTTACGGATACTTCAGATGTAGAGACAGTTACTTAAGAATGCAGGAATTTGATAGATTCAGAATTTCATTACTTTTTCGGGGTATTTCTGTGGAATTTTCAGGTTGAGAGAAGGTATGAGCACTACCATCATCATGTTGAAGAATTGGTTTGTTCATTTGAAGTGATAGCAGGTGTAAATTCAGGCAAGTCTTACACTGCTCTTGCACTTCAAGCCATGTCCAGACATTTCTGCAGCTTAAGAGATGCAATTCTCTCTCAAATCAATGAAACAAGAAGAGAATTTTCGCAAGATATGCCAAAAATCAGCACTGGTTTGTCACAACTTAGCTTGTTTGATCGAGAGAATCGACACAATCGAATATCTCTTCAGCAGCTTGCACTGATCCAAAGCCCACGGCAACAATGGAGACCTATCAGAGGATTGCCCGACACTTCTGTTGCAATCCTTCGGTCGTGGCTTTTCGAACATTTTCTCCACCCGTAAGTGGTATTTGCTTAACTTAGCCACATTGGTGATGCGATGCTCTAAAGTCTCAAGGATTAAACTTTTGTTTGGTGCATAGTTTTGATCAACTTGAAAATGAAAATATCTCTAAATATCTGAAAACAGACCAAAACATCATGAAACAAGTAGAAACATTCTGAAACATAGGCCAAAACATCACGAAACAACTATAAACATTCCTAACACAGGCCAAAACATCATGAAACAAGTAGAAACATTCTGAAACATAGGAATTTCTTATATATCACCCAGTGATTTGTTTCGATTTCCACCAAAACCAAATTATTCAGCCGTTTGGTGGAACTAAACGACGTTTTGATCCTTGGATGTTTTGTAATTCTTTTGAATGCTAGTTGATGGTTCTCTAACAGTTATCCAAATGATTCTGAAAAGCTTATGTTGGCATCACAGACAGGCCTATCCAAGAACCAAGTAATTCTCTCTGCCCTCTGAATTCAAACTTTATATATTTCATTGTCTTTCGTCGACTTCAATAAAAAAAATGGGTGCCTCATGTTTTTTTTTTTCAGGTTTCCAATTGGTTCATTAATGCTCGAGTTCGATTGTGGAAACCTATGATTGAAGAAATGTATAACGAAGAGTTTGCAGACTCATTGGTTGATTCGAATCCATAGTTAGCAAGCACTTCTCTACAATGGAAGGCATCACAGATAATGCAGAGGAGTGAAAAAAGTGATAGGAAGGATCAGATATTAATATGTAACCAATGCTTTTTGAGCAATTTCGTTTGGTTGTTTGATCTATATAGTAAATTGAAAGCTTTTGGAACCAAGTTATTCTGACTGTTTTGTACAGTCCATATGATCAGGAACAATGTAGAACAAAGTAAAGCTCACCAGTATCTCATATCTCTATTACTTGGGGGGCCATTTTGTGTCCTTCACCTGGGATATAGCTAGGCTGCATGTGTGGCACCTGAAACAAATTTCAGACAGGCCGGTCGGGAAATCGGGTCAGGGTTCCGTGAAATTATCTGTTGTGAAGGTTTGAGTTTGTTTAAGATGACAAGAACTGATGCAGGTTTAGAAGGTGTGGAAAATTGCTGGTAACATGTGAAATTATCGATGGAGTAGTTGACGCAAATTTGCACGCCCAGTAATAAAAAAAAAATGTGATAGATTTCCAGAATCTCTTCTTCAATATCCAATGCATAATTTTTATTTGTGGATAAAACCAAATGCAATCAAGAACAAGGTAAGAAGGAAATTTTTGTGAAGGTTTTCAAAGATTGAAAGCCACCCCCATTGAGACCCACCAACGTCACCGCCCAAATCCCGTACACAGGTTGCAATAAATTATTTAATGCACATTCAAATTGGAAGGTGACAAAATAATAAAATGGTGCCTTGCTAGGGCTAATAATCGAACCGAACTATTTAAGTTCAGTTTATTTTAGACTTAGATTTATTTTTTAAACGAGTCGAACTTGAATAATTTTTTAAGCTCATTTTTTTTAGGCTCAGCTTGGGCTCGTAAACTTTAGCTTGTTTATTTGTAAAATAACCGAGTTACTCAAGTTTCGCTCGAATTTAGCTCAGTTGGAAGTTTGAACAATTTTATAAGTTTGTTTTAAAAAAACGAGTTCAATAGACATGACTTGATCTCGAGCTCGCAAAGTTCAGATCAATTAATCAGCCCTAATCGCTCTTCATGTAGGTGGAAACTAGGTTTTTTTGGGGAGCGGGGGGTGCTAAAAATCTGATGAGAATTTAAGTCTCAAAACAACTGCAAATTTAGCCCAGGAAATTATAGAAACTGTAAGGGCATCTCTTGGGATTATCATAAACTATGAGGGTTCTCAGTGTAATTTATTCACAAAGAAATTCGCTATCTTCCGGTTGCTGAGCTGAGACCCAGGCCATTGCTTTACGGACAATACAGGTTGAAGAAACGAACTCCAACTACTCCTATCATGAGCGCAAGCTTTGGTCCACTAGTAAGACCATCATCACCTTTAATTCCTGAACAACATTGTCCATGGATTTCAAACCCTAGTCGGCTATTTCTTCGTTTCACTCTGCGAAGACGAGTAAAGAATTATTCTTGTAGTGGCAATATCAGAGCTGTTCAGGAGGGAATCGGAGTTTTGTCTCCCGACGACTCCGTTTCACAGAGAAACCCCGTGATTGAGTCCGAGAAGGAAGAAGAAGTTCACGAGGTAGTAGTTAATGGAGTCGCAGGGGCTGAATTAGAAGAAAAAGCTCCTAGAAATTCGAAATCGCCGTTGAAGAAGAAAGAAGATGAGCTGGACAGCAATGAGAGTAGGTTCAAGATTCAAAATGGAAGAGAGGTTGGTCTTTTTTATCATCTTTTGTACTCCTTTTGTATAATTGTTTTCCTAGAAAGATTGATAGAAAAGAAAAGGAATAATTGAGAAAAGATCTGAAAAAGAAATCATTTCGTTAGCATTTACTCGTGTTATCCCTTCTATGTTTTTATTTCCTGAACTGTAAAAGGTAGAGAATGGACGAATAGTTTGAGTTTTTGGGGGTTGGGTTGAGTTTCACTTTTGCCCTGAACAAAAAAGGGCATACTTAGTATGTGGGGTTTGGAGAGGGTTAGATGCAGCCTTACCCCGCAGAGACTCGAACTGTAACCTCTAGTTCACAATAGAGCAACCTTACCGTTGCGCCATTGCCTGCCCTCTTCTGCCCTGAACAAAGCAGTTATTAAATACTTTGTGGCTCACAAGTGACAGTGTTCTGCTTTTTATTGCTGCAAAGACTGTAACACAAAGCATGCTAGGTTGTGGGATCCATTACAGGTTGAAAACAACTCCTTGATTATAGAAGAATTTGGTATGTGTGTGTGGTTTACATCTAGTAGCAGGGAAGAACAGCGGTGGAGTATATTTTCAGAGTTTTCTAGGGTCACATTGGGTTAGGCGTAGTCCATAATGCTGCCTTCTTTTTATCCTTTACAAGTGTATACCCAACTACCAAAGAGAATGTCCGGCCATTGTCTTCTGAGATTCATGAGCCTGACCTAATCTTATTGTACATGCGTTTGTTCTTGTCTTTTACTCCAAATACTATTTTTTTTTTCTGGCAAAGAATTATATGGACTGTATAATAACTTTCAGGTTTTTGAAGAGAAAGCCTATCTTGTGGCTGTTGCATGCAAAGGTCATACACAGGATTCATTTGGTATAGACGAATCACTCAGGGAACTGGCCCAACTAGCTGACACTGCTGGACTAATGGTTGTTGGTTCTACACATCAAAAGTGAGTATTAGATTGGCTTTTACCCAATTCATTTCTAGGGACATAGAATGCTACTGTATGAAGCTAACCTTATGCTTCACGCCACACGTTCTGCAAAAGGGCAACGAATGGCACATCTGGGGCAGTTGAGTTTCCACTGAGCATGTTGATCATGTCTGTCAAGTCTTTTGGAAGTTTTCTTCCAACATGATCATGTTAGGCATGCATGTCCTTGTGTAGTCAGATAGTGGTGTCCACTGTCCGCTAATTCTGGAGGGCATCTAGAGTGGCACAGAATTGATGGCTGCTGTGTGGTTTGGCTAACTAGCTGCTCCGAACTTTTGAGAAATCTAGTTTGATTGCATTTCTATCTTGAAACCATTGTTTTTAATGTAGAACAACCTTAGATGACAGATGTATATGAATGCATACTTTTCAGGAATGTAGTGTCATGGTTGGAGCTTTTCACTCAGCACATGTGGTGCATAGTGTCCTGTTTTACATTGTCCAGTTTGAAATTACAAAGAGGAGGGGGGTTGCATTAGGTAGCTTTAGGTTACATGTAGCCAGCTCCAAATTATTAGGAGAAGGCTTTCTCGAGTTCTCGATTTATGTTTGCTTGTGGCATCTTATGAGTGGATATTAGCAATTAAATTGTGGCTCTCTCTGAGTTTAATGACATAGTCTTTCATATTTTCCTTGAAGTTTGCATCCATTTGGTGAACGAACAAAGATTCTTATATTTCCCTAGTAAGTTGTCAATGTGACGTGAGATGTGGCAATCATCTCATCATCCATTCTTAGACTGACGTCTTGTTATGTGATTGTCCAGACTCGCTACTCCAAACCCAAGGACATACATTGGATCTGGCAAGGTTGCAGAGATCAAGAGTGCCATTCATGGATTTGGTGTTGAAACTGTAATTTTTGACGATGAGCTGTCACCGGGGTTAGTTTTTATTTCTTTTTATTTATGTCTCTCATGAGGTATGAATGACATTCTCTAACTATTGCTGCTGCAGTAGTGCTAAAGTCTAGAGACGACTGCTTGCACTCCTTTTTCTGCTTTCCCATTAACATACCATTTCTTATTCCATCTGGCAGGTTCCTTATTGGAATTAGTAAGGTTTTCATGCTACTGTCCAGGGAATTATGTAACTTTGTGTTGCTTGCAATAGCACATTTTAAAAACTATTGTTTTTTGAACTTGCCAATTTATCAATTAAATGTTTTGGTATGGATTTCTGCTATATTATCAAAAAGTAAGTTAAGTGCAGACTCAACATTTTTTTTTCTCTCCCTTGTGCATGTTTATTGATTGATTTTAGGCCTCATATTTCTTTTTCTCACTTCATGTATGTGAATTATGTTATTATCAATCTTTTTGCTGTATTCTTATTCGTAATGTCTGGGGAAGCTATTTCTAATTTTTTGTGTATGAGAAAAAGTAAATAAGATAGTGGTGTATTTTTTAATACATTTTGTTGTAATGTCAAATTCCAGACAATTGCGTAATCTAGAAAAGGCTTTTGGTGGAGACGTCAGAGTTTGTGACCGCACTGCCCTCATCCTGGATATCTTTAACCAACGAGCAGCAACACGTGAAGCTGCTTTGCAGGCAAAGTTCTTGTGATGCTTTGGAATTATATTCTGCAAACTTTTGTGTACTTCGACACTGACAAGAGTAGTAAAGTCTTCTAGGTTGCATTGGCACAAATGGAATACCAGTTGCCAAGACTAACGAAAATGTGGACGCACCTTGAGCGTCAAGCCGGAGGCCAGGTGAAAGGTATGGGTGAGAAACAAATTGAGGTGGATAAGCGAATTCTCCGTACCCAGGTAAGCTACCTTTATTGTACAATCTTTGTATTAATATCTACATGCATGCATACGTGAGTAGTTACCAGCATATAATAGCCTAGATAGCCATCTTATCCATACACGTATATGTCACATTTCTTCACATTCTGAGAGTTCAATAGTTATATTATTGATTATTCATCACATGTCTCCATGTATGTGAGCTGTAAGATGGGCTTATTTTTGTTGTAAGGGACTAGTTTTAAACACTGCACTCAGCTACACAATCCATAAATCAATCATCTGTTTAATAAAATATCAAAATTCATAGTAGCAAATTCCCTTGATTAGTGAGAACCAATCCAAGGCCGCTTTTATTCTTCATTATTTATTCTTTCTTTTTACGGCGAATCAAACTGCACTTGATTGAGCAATATCACAATTTTGATACTGCTACTACCACTATAGCTGTTGCCCTTCACTAAAGTATTTGCTGAACAAAGTTAAGTTTGGCCATTAGTACTCTGCCACCGATATTGTAAGGTGTTGCATATGTATGTTTATTTGTGATATAGAAGTTCAATGGCCCATTGTCCAACTTGTTTATCAACTAAGTTATGACAGAAAATAAAATAATAAAACTCTTAAGGATTTGTTTCCTTGAATGGAGATTGTTGGAAAGGCAAAAATTTGCACGTTTTTTTGTTTTGAAGCAAACAAGCTATGGGAGTGTTATTAATTAAGGTTGAGGGCTTTGATTTGGAGAAAGATTAGCCAGTACTGGTCCTGACGATGCTTGGTAATTTTTCAGTAAAGGGACAAAGCCTAATATTTTGGCCTATTTGCACAAAGTGGCTGTTCACAAACCCCACTTCTTTTGGCAAATAGGGTTAGTATAAAATTGTCATCTAATAATTTTCCCAAATGACTTTTCCACTTGATTGGGTGAGTTCTGTGCTTGGGATTCAGAATTGTGTTGCAGATCCTTCTAGAAAAATTTTAGACATGGGGGATGCCTTTTTTCCTTCTTTTTCTATTGGGGTGGGCGTTTGGGGGGTGGGGGAAGAAGATTTGGCTATCGTAGGAAGTTAACATATGAGAACATCGTCAATAGCTTAATTGTAATATTTTCTTGGGTTAGTTGACATTAAGTAGAAGTATCCTTGCTGCCTCTGCACAGCAAAATAAAATAAGAATCATGTGGAAAAAATGTTTGGCAAAATCATTGGACAACATATGGGAAGTGTGTATTATTTGGTGGCACTAAAAAACCTTATGACCAGTAGTTTTTCACCTTTGATTGACTATTTCATTTTGTGCAACATGTATTTCTTTCTGGACTTTTTCGTGTTTATGTTTATCTTGGGAATCTGACTTCTCCTCCTGCATTGTTTTTGCATCAATAGATTGGAGTTCTTAAGAAAGAGCTAGACTCGGTTCGAAAGCATCGAAAGCAATATCGGAACCGGCGTCTTTCTGTGCCTGTCTCGGTTGTCTCTTTGGTGAGGAAATATAGAGATTGGTTTGTATAAAATGTTTTTGTATTGGTCACTAAGATAGCTAATTCATTTTTTTTTTCAAGTTAGGTTGGGTACACAAATGCTGGAAAGAGTACACTGTTGAATCAGTTGACAGGGGCTAATGTTCTTGCCGAGGATAGATTATTTGCGACTCTTGATCCAACTACAAGGAGGGTACAGGTAAGTAAAGTATATCAGAGGAACCTCTTTACAATTCTGGTATAAGAGAAGTAGTTTTCAAGGTATTGGCATCTCCTTGCTTTAGGAATTTGGTTCTCAATTCTTGTTGCTTCATTCACAGGATGCAACATCTTTAGTTCGATGATCATTGAAGTACTTTCTAGTTTCTAGAGCTTATGACCTAGATGTAAAATACAAATTATTCCTATACACCTAGGAAGTATGGACACTTCATTTTGGTCAGAGTGTCAGTGTCGGACATAGACATGCTAAAATGAGTGCTCGATTTTTTTATTGTTAAGTGTTTTTTAGGACACATCAGGGACACACAACTGTTACATGGTCAACACACAATACTCTCTTGGAACATGCTCGAGGACACGTTTTTAGATTTTTTTTTTCAAATTTTTGAAAACTTGTCCAACTACGTTATAATTAAGAAAGTTATTTTTTGTATTTTAGAAAAATATGAGTCAAATGCATAATGTAGAAAGAGTATAATCACAACATGAACATAGGACATGGATATAACATAATTTCGGAAACAATTACTAAATTATACAAATGGAATAAACTTTCTATATCAAAGCAATGTAATAAAAAATAGGTTATGAAATTGGGATTCTTTAAATCGATGAAAATTAGGGTTATGATTTGGGATATATTTGAAAATGGAAATTGTAGTAATCATTGATTATTGGATCATGAGTATTTATAATGAGGGTATATCGCTATATGTGATATTGAATTTTTTATTCAATAATATCATGATGTGAGTTGTTAGAAATAAAGAAAGGATAAATTGAATGATTATTATCAAAACATATTTATTTTATCACATGATTACACACACACACACACACACACATATATATATATAAAATATAAAAATATAAATACATAGTATTTAACGTGTCCCACGTGTAGTACTTTTTTAAAAAAATTCGTGTGAGCGCATCCATGTCTTGTCGTATCTCTGTCTGTGTCCGTGCCTGTGCTTCTTAACTATACACATGGTTTTTTTGTAAAAAAGTAATAGGTGGGTGGAAATGAGTTTCCAAACCTTAATTATTAATGTACAATGAGGAACATGAGATGCAGCCATTAAGTTCTTTCTGAGTACAAATGGCTATCTGACCAAATTTCTAACTCTGATTTTTTTGGGTGGTGATTCAGATGCTTGTTTTGTTGGCTTTCTTGCCAGATTAAGAATGGGAAGGAGTTTCTTCTTACGGATACTGTTGGATTCATTCAGAAGTTACCGACTACGCTGGTGAGCTCCTTTACAATTTTAACTGAATATGTCACTATCATCTCCCTTGCAATTATTATGCCACAGCAACTGCTGCTTTGATTGTTCTATTTTTTATTTGTTTTGATAGAATTGTTGGAGTGAGTTTCCAGTAAATGTAAACGTGCCTTTAGCATGAAGTCCATGAGATTGTGTGAGTTACCTTTCATCAACGCTTCTTGCTGCAGGTTGCTGCCTTCAGGGCAACATTGGAAGAAATTTCAGAGTCATCACTTCTGGTGCATGTGGTTGATATTAGGTATAATTTGGTGAATTAAAATGGGATTACTAGTTGATGACCAAAATTAGATTTTGATTGAGTGTTTCTTTAAAGTTCAGCCATCCACTGGCGGAGCAACAGATAGATGCTGTGGAAAAAGTTCTCTCAGAATTGGACGCATCATCAATTCCTAAGCTGATGGTGTGGAACAAGGTATGGTGAATACTTTGTTATTCAGTTCTGAAGCTAGTTTTGGCATTGATGATTGATGTTCTTGTTTTTGCATCTATACGGGGTCTTTTGTCTTTTGCTTTTTTCCCTTGGATTTTGACTAAAGAGATGCTAGCATTTTAGTGGAATGCAGTTCATCCGCAATTGCTGTAAATATGGTAATTTGTTATATTTGGATATGAATGATTGTCAAACTAAGACCTCTGTTCTCTTTATAAATTTCTTTTGCCATAACATAAATGGTTAGGGTATTGACTCTTGAACCATTTTATCAGTAATGCAGTGCAGTAAAACTCTTCCTGCTGGCCCTAAATAGACAATGGTGTATTGTATTGTTGATCCAATAAACTTAGTCTACCATATAACGTACTTGGTTTACTCTCTCAACCTTTTAAAACAAATGTCAAGTTTCTTGTTGTTGATGGTCATTCATTTTTATGCTTTAGAGAAAAACCCTATGTTTTATTCGCAGCAACTTAAATTTTAGGTTGATAACTGCCTGACCTCTACACCTGCTTATGACAGGTTGACAAAGCTAGCAGTCCTCAGAAATTTAAGTTGGAAGCGGAGAAAAGAGATGATACTATCTGCATATCTGCTTTAAATGGGGATGGACTGGATGAATTTTGCAACATAGTTCAGGAAAAACTGAAGGTGCTGAGTTGATTTTTCTTTTTCCCAACAGTATATTCCAATATTTTTGTTTATAGGTGATTAAAAAGTCTTGTCTCAAACAGGATTCTATGGTTTGGGTGGAAGCTTTGATTCCATTTGAGAAAGGGGAACTCCTCAGTACCATCCATCAGGTTGGAATGGTTGAGAGAACAGTGAGTACTTTATTCCCTAACGTTGGATTAATTCATTATTTTTTTTCTCTTCCCTTTGTTAAGTTCTGTGGCATTTGTATCACTCATTGTTTGTTCGACAACTGATAGTTTGACGCCTCTCTCCTCTCTCCTCTCTCTCTCCATCCTTGTCCCTAAGGAGCTAAGTGTTTCTGTATATGCATTCTTTCACCTTTACTATATTACATAAGTTAATCTACCCCCAAGAATAGCTAAGGGAATGGTATGTAGATGTGCATTTCTTGCCTTGGAAGCCAAAAAAAATAAAATGGGAATAGATTAAAAATAAAAAATGAAAGAAATGTTTGGTGTGAACCTCTAGAGTAATTTTTCAAAAGCAGACACCCAATGAATTTCCTTTTTGGTCAGAGAAGGTAGAGGGTGATGAATATATTGATCATCGAAATATGGGTTTTACATTTTTGAAACTTTGATTAGCAATTATGATTTGTTTCTGTTTTTTTTAGTTAGCTTTCTCACCTCCATTTTTCGTACTTGTAGGAGCACTCAGAGAACGGGACATTGGTCAGGGCACATGTTCCCCTCCGATTTGCAAGGCTGCTCACCCCCATGAGGCAAATGTGTGTATCTTAGTCGCCACTTGATCCAATTAGCATTGAACATTTTGACTGTTCCAGGACCATTCTAGCCAAAATCTTTTTGGACATTGTGGCAAACTTGGAACCACCTCGCCAAACACTCAGATCAATAGCAATTGCTCAGAGAGAGAGAGAGAGAGAAAGTTGCATACGAAATTTGTATTATCCTTCACTTTGTATAAGGCTTGTGTATATAGTGTATACATTGATGTGTAAATAATGCTGATATCTGTCAACAAATGACTGCCAGTAAGTTTCTTTCCCTTTCGAAAACAGTAGCAGTTCTCCAACAACCTTCAAGGATTTTTTTTTTTTTTTTATCAAAACAACTTTTAAGGTTGATGTTGTACAATTTGACTTTGTTTGCCTTTCTGTTCTGTGGGGAAGCTTTCTAACAACTATTTTTCGTCATTATGTTGTATAATTGACTTGGTCTTTCTCTCTCAGTCAGACAATCACCATGTGCAATCAATCGGAGTTGAAGTTAGGATAGGGAAGCTCCTCTATTTATGCGTACGAAATTGGTGGTTGTTTAGTCCATAGTTATCAAATTGAGATTCATATCAAGAATTGAAATCTTAAATTCGAGAATCGGTACTATTTTCATAACTATGGTTTAGTCCATTTACCAGAATCAATGACAATCCCTGATGCTGGCTCACCAATTATGCGCTGCTTATGGATCTAAGTGATATAATTGAGACATAGTCAATGTATATATGCATTATAAATTCATTGCAACACTTTATTTACATGTAAGGTAAGACTTTGTATATCTTATCGTTCACGATAACAAAGCTTCGCATGCATTATACATGCGCTTTCCCTAAAATGTGTGTTTCTGGCATTGGACCTGTGACACCCCAAAATTCGGGTATCTGTAATTATTCGATTGATCATCCATCGATCCGTGGAATACTGGTGGATATTGTGTAATTCGATACCACACCATTATACCCTATTTCTCGGGATTCATAACTTAACAAAATTTGGGCAAAGTCTCATTTGTACGAGGAGATCTACTCAAAAACGCAACCTGTACAATATTGACTACACCGGATCTATCAATCCATTCATAATTATATAGTCTCGAATACTACCATAATCATTATCAGTACATACATTTATTTGTAAGAGAATAAATGTCCCAAAAGAGTCTCATATACATGTCTTTGTAAATATAAACAAATGTTTGTTACAAAAAATTATACAAGGCCAAAAGTAAGTATAAACAAGGGACTACAATGTCAAAATAAAAGCCACAGACCGGCTCTGTCGTCAAAGCGGGCCCATGGCCACGCCTTCGGTGAACGCCTGTGCGATACCTGAAAAATGTTCCCATAAAGGGTGAGCCAACGCTCAATAGGGTAACTCCTATAGAGAATACCTCTCAACCTAAATGCATATAGAATGTCACATACAACAATCATTTGATACATTAATTCAAATATATCTATTATGATCGAATGTCATAAATCATGTCATGTCATGAGATGAGACTCACGCAAGCAATACCAACCCCGAGCCCTATCCTGAGCTCCCATAACACATGCAATGTCATGCGTATGTATCCGAGCATTTCAAGCCCCTATCATTGGTGTTATGTACACTCAATGACTAATTAATTCATTTTCTTGTGTCTTTGTAGGGAGGTGATTTATGGTATTACACCAATGAGACATCAACCATCAACGGATCTTCGGGACATCCCATCTGCAGCTTCGTTTTCGCCGTTACACTTTTCTGAAATTTTACCGCTGAAAAGTGTATAAACCAAGTAGGCGGGTCTTGCACCCGAGGAAGAATCTAGCCCTTCTTGCTGTCCCCAACACATTTATCCATTTAATTTCCCGTGCGACTCAGCTAAACCTTGGTGCGACTTTTTCGAGTCCACGATCAACCACCTACGTGGTGATTGATTTCATACCATGCATACACTCCCACCCATGTCAATGCCTATGAATGTAGTGCAATCCATGCATAATGCAATACAATGTCCATTACATAATGAATACAATATAATGACATTTTAACACGATCTCAAGCATGTTATGTAAGGTAATCAACTCAACTAAAATACTTGTATTCACCTAGGCATTTAATCAAACAGTTAAAGAGTATATTAATTTACACAACTAGCATGCTTTGACTTGCAATATGACAACATGTTTATTAATTATATAAACATAAGCACAAGTCCACCAAAATAATCATATGTTAAATAATCATTTAACATAGATATTATTTCATAATCACATAACAAGTTAATAATTTTATTACATTTGACCTGCCATTAAAATATAAAGTAATGCTAATATACATTTAACATGCTTTAAACCACTAACATTAACTTACACCAAGTTAATCACAATAGAATTTTATTAATCACAAGATTTATTATAAATCTTATATTTGACCCACTAGTCAAGACCTAACATGTGATATACACTCATAACCTACCCATTCCATATGCCATATTTTAAGTTGAAATTAAATCTAAATAGGGGAAACCCTACCTCTCGTAGCATGAGACCACTTACTAGAACGTCAAGGAAGCCCAAATTTAGTTTCATAAGTTTTAGGCCTAGATTATCAGTTTTGATATTTTTTCAGAGAAAAATACGATATTTGGTGTGGTTGCGTAGCTCTTGTTGAGTAGAACAACTTTAATTTTTAGCCTGAAACGATTAAACAGTTAAATTTTTGTAGATCTGAGAAGAAAGAAAAGAAAAACAAATAAGAAAAAACTCATTTTTTCTCTCACTCTCTCTGTCTCGCCGGCTGGAGAAGAAAGTGAAAGACTTTTAAAGTCTTTCACTTTTATATATCTATAGAATAAATTCATTATTTTAAAAATTTATTTTTTTGACCCATACTTTAACAAATAATTATTATTTTACCCCTTTAATTAGGATTTTTAATAATAATAATAATAATTTTTTTTTCGGGTTTTACAGGACCCAGTGACCCAACCCCAACCCTGTGTGTGTGCATAGGTGCATAGTGTATTTTGGTAAATTGTTAAATGTGTTAGTGTTTTTAGTTTTTTATTAAATGCGTTTGTATTTTTGGTGTTAGTATATGTGTATGTATTTTTGATATATTAATGTATGTTTTGGTGTATTAGTATGTGTTAATATTAAAAATTTTAATTTTTTTACAGGTTAATGGGTATAACCTAAACCATTATGATCTAACCTATTTTAACCCACTTATTAAATGGGTTGAAAACGGATTAGATTTATTTTACACCTAACCCATCTTTAACAGGCCAATAACCAACCCAACCTGCTCATGTACTACCTCTATTCACCACCACCAACACTAAATGTATCCTTAGAGATTCTTGTACTCATGAAAAATCTACATAAAATCTTGGAAGTTGTCATTTTATCAGAAATCTTACTATGATTTCTTGCTTGTCAAGATTTTAGAAGTTGCTTTGTGAATGTGAGATACAAGTATGCCCATTATGGTATGAAGACTCACCAACTCCTGACCAATCTTTTGATATTGCGTTTTAAACCATAAATAAATTGCTGTAGCTAAAGAATAAAGCCTCTAAAGCAAACTGCCAAATCAATTGAAGTTCCAAATTTGATCAAGGTCTCTAACGTGGCTGACATATCCTCTCTTGTTCATGGAGCAGGTGAAACTGAAACCAGAAACACTGTCAAAAACATCTCTCTCTCTCTCTCTCTCTCTCACCCATTTCTAAACTTGAGCATATGCACTACAATAGGACATTATCATAGCTTACCTTAAATGGTGTAAATCTTCTAAGAGGATTTGGTAGGGAGAGCAGTTGATATGATCACATGATCTCTATATAAATCTAGCAATGGATACAGAAAGGCAACCACACAATCCCATTCATACAACTTAGTCTCAGAGTATTCCGTCACCCATGGCTTCTTCCAAAGTTTTCTCCAGTCTCATAACAATGGCTTTTCTCTCTTTCACTTCCTCTCTTGCTTTCCCAGGTTATAATTTTGGCTGGGGAGGTACTGGTCACTTTGGGGGAGGCTACTCTGGTCTGTATCCGAAGTTCTACCAATTCTCATGCCCTCAAACTGATGACATTGTCATGTCTGTCTTGGAGAGAGCCATTGCAAAAGAGCCTAGGATGGCTGCCTCTTTGCTTAGGCTTCATTTCCATGACTGTTTTGTTCAGGTGATAATTGCATCGTGCATGTTTTGGCTTATTAGCTGCAGGATACGAAAGTATGATGAACCGGGATATTTGAAATTTTCATTTTCGTACTCTTTTGAGTCTTACCTCTTGAGATTGATATCATGTTGTATTGTTGTTGTTCTGGAGAAGCCATTATTTTCAGACTGATTTTTGTCTTGTGGTGCTTAATATGCGTTGTATAGGGGTGCGATGCATCAATATTATTGGATGATAGCACGACAATAGCCAGTGAAAAGAAGGCAGGACCAAACAGGAATTCCATTAGAGGATTTGAAGTTATTGATGAGATCAAAGCAAAGCTGGAAGAAGCATGTCCTCAGACAGTCTCTTGTGCAGACATTCTCGCCCTCGCTGCCAGGGGTTCCACTGTACTGGTAAGAAAGCTTGAAACTCATCAAGTGCTGGAGTGAACAACATTAGCATGTGGAAAATTTATATCCCATCTGATTGTTGAGAAAAACCACTAGGAAGGAATAGAAAACTGCAAATACTATGGATACCACTTTGAAATTAACCAAAGAGAATCACATATATTTCATTCGTGTACCTATAAATGCTGGCAGGAGTTCTGTACTTATGTTTTAGCTAACAAAGACTAGTTGGTCTGGTGACCAGAGTGGTGGACCAAATTGGGAACTGCCATTGGGAAGAAGGGACTCAAAGACAGCAAGTCTCAACGGCGCCAACAGCAACATTCCAGCACCAAACTCCACCATCCAAAACCTCATAACACTCTTCAATCGCCAAGGCCTTAATCAAGTAGACCTTGTTGCACTTTCTGGTGAGTTTATTGGACAAGTTTGTGTAGGTTTACATTCACATTCCTTTTAGTCTAGTCATAAAGAAAATTAAAAAAGAGGCTGGGCTGGTTCCTCTTCGTTCCCCTCCCTCTGCAGTTTGATCTCAAAAACTCAAGAAGACATTAATGTAGAATTGGACTACTCCTAGATTCTCGATTTAAACCTTTTAACACTGAAGCTTTTTATTTTAATTGTTTTCATGGCAGGTGGTCATACCATAGGGGTAGCAAGATGTGTGACATTCAAGCAGAGATTGTACAATCAAAATGGAAACAACCAACCAGATGCAACTTTGGACAGAACTTATTCCAATGGTCTTAGAACAGTTTGCCCGAAAACTGGTGGCGATAACAACATCTCCCCCTTGGACTTTGCCTCCCCTGTCAGATTTGATAACACATACTTCAAGCTCATTTTGTGGGGAAAAGGACTTCTCAACTCAGATGAAGTTCTTATGACTGGAAATGTTGCCCAAACTGTTGAGTTGGTGAAGACGTATGCAACAGATGAGGGTCTCTTCTTCAGCCAGTTTGCAAAGTCTATGGTTAACATGGGAAACATTAGTCCTCTGACTGGTTTTAATGGTGAAATTAGGAAGAACTGTCGTCGAAATAACTGATAATTGTGCGATGTATCGATTTTAAGACTCAATGGTAGTGTTATTTCTACTTTCTTAGAACTCAAGCTGTTGTATTTGCAAGGTCTATTAAATGGTTGTGGATGAATCAGGAATTTGGTTCATGTTGTTTGCTATTTTTTACTGGATTCTTGCATTGGCTTTCTTTATTTCAGTGCTTTCTTTATTTCGGTGCCTTAAGAGTATATCAAATTGGTATTGAGACTTATCGACTCTAATTCAATGCATGAAGTTGTTGTTATGAGATCCAAAAAAATAGGTTGTACAAGAATGTACATAGATTTATATACATGCGGAGAGAATATTTTCGTAACTTGAATCTATAATACACAGATTATGACGAATTAATTTTTCCAATGAATGGATATCTACGAGCTAAATGCGGAGCCAAAGTTCAAAATAAGAAGCATAGCACCAAAATATCTACCCAAAAAAGTAAAATGATTCTATCATTTTGCATTTTTGAAGAGTACAAAGGATTGAAAGCAACTTTAAACGGTTCATTCGGAGGTTGTTTGCATACCTTGTTGGGTCTTTAGTTGGTTAGTCATCAAGTAGGCTGGGTTGTGATTCTGATTGATACATTGAAATTGCCTTCCCTATTTGTAAAGTACTTACGAGACAAAAAAGACCCGGCCAAGATGAACGGGTTATGTTATGAAAAAATTATAGACCTAATGGATCGAATATGTAGGCCTAAATTAGTCCAGCATATGGGAAATAGTGGACAAAAACCAACGGGCCTAACCCTTAAGATATTGGGCTATACGGCCTAATTGACTTGAATTTCTGGGGCTAAATTTGTCCAACATACCCTTAAGATATTGGGCTATACTGTCTAATTGTCTGGGTTCTTCGGCCGTAATCAAGCTAACATATCGGACTTAGTGGATTAAAACTAAGTCCAATTGGCAAAATTATTGGGCTTATTGGGTCTTAGTGGTCATTATCCAGTGGACCTCCGAGTTAATGGATTAGCCTGTGGATCACGGGCCATATATCGATTCTAATTAATAATCAAGTCCAACTTTACGAGTTCGTTTTCTAGAACAAATTTAATTATTTTACACATAAATGAATTAAGTTTTTTAATCTTGTTTACTAAAAAAACCTAAAATATTGTTCGGGCTCGAGTTGTATTTTATTTGAGGCACGGCAGCCCAAACCTTATCAGCCCATTTTACATTTTTCTGAGTGCTTGAGTGCGACGTCGTTTTATGAATTTGCAGTTCACAATTCGAATCACAGACCAAAACCCTCAAATGTTTACAGAATCACAATTTAAATTTGGTAGCCTGAAAGGTCAATTGTTTCATTTTTCGATTGCATTTAAGGTCAATTGTTTCATTTTTTGATTGCAGATATGTATAAACCCTAATTCATATATACAGCAAAATGGCGAAACAATCCACGTGGTTCATCTCAATTCCGAAAAGATGGCCTCTGATAGTTCTGGTATTGTTCACTCTGTCCACTGCCATTGTCTTCTTCATCAGAGCTTCGATCGGTACTTGCGACACCGACAATCGAATTCACTTGATCACGCAAGTCGGAGAGGTAAACAATCCACTCAGTTTCATGAAATCGAAACTCGTTCTCTTGGTCTCCCACGAACTCTCTCTTTCTGGTACACTCCCCTCTCTTCCTCACACCTCAATTTTAACATTGAATATGTGTTTTTCAAAGCCATATGACATCAAGAATTGTTTTTTTCACAGGTGGTCCATTATTATTGATGGAGCTGGCTTTTTTGTTGAGGAGTGTTGGTACAGAAGTTGTTTGGATCACTAATCAGAAACCCACAGAAACAGATGAAGTGATTTATAGTTTGGAGCGTAGGATGTTGGATCGAGGAGTGCAGGTACCAAAAAAAACTATGTTTTTAAGATCAGAAGATCGTAATTACTTATCTTTTGTCTTTTTTTTTTGTGGCAATTCTTTTGTGTTTGCTTCTTTTCCTGGGGAATCTGTCTTTCTTCATTGGAATGTATAGTTTTGTTGGAAAACATCAGTACTAATTTTCCCCCTTTTTTTGTTTTTTTGTGATGACTCTTACCATCAGAGTAGTTCATATTACTAATATTATCTAAAAATATGATTGAACTAATTCTGAAGTGTGTAATCTGTAACATGCCAAAAAACAGAGTAAGCTTCATCATTGGCAATTGGCCTGTTTGACATTAAGTTATGGTAGAAAGAGACAGGCGGATCTTTGTCATGCTTTTCTATGATCTGATTATGTCCTATGTTTGTCATTAGTTGTCAATGCTTTATGTTGCAAATGTCCTGAACTGCAGCTAGATCAGACCTACTTGAAGAGTCCCTAGTTGCATGAGTTCTATGGATTTTCTTTGCAGATACTATAATTATCTAAGATGTGATTGAAGAGCTTGTTATCTCCTTGGGCAAGAGAATTTTGGACAACAGGTTTCCAGTTTTGTTAAAAAACCATCGATTATGATTTTGTGTTATAATTTGCCTTTCCCCCACTGGAGCAGAGGTGTCATTCAACAATTTCCATTTTAAATATTTGAATTTTTGGTTGAGGGAAGATGATTTTCTGAGGAGATGTATGACATATGGTTTGTACCTAAAATTTAAGATTGACCCTAATGCTTGCTAAAGTATTTTTATTTTTTTTCTCAGATATTACTTGCTAAAATATCTTTTGCAATGCCTGATTTGGTATTCTTGTGCCTCTAAAGTATCAGTCTGTTGATTTTATCTCTTCCAGGTTTTCTTTGCAAAGGGTCAAAAAGCTATAGATACAGCTCTGAAAGCTGATTTGGTTGTTTTGAATACTGCTGTTGCTGGAAAATGGTTAGATGCTGTTCTTAAGGAAAATGTCCCTCATGTTCTTCCAAAGGTGTTGTGGTGGATTCATGAAATGCGAGGGCATTACTTTAAAAAGGAATATGTTAAGCACCTCCCTTTTGTTGCAGGTGCCATGATTGATTCACATACAACAGCAGAGTATTGGAAGAATCGGACACAAGAACGTTTAGGGTATGCTTTGGACATCTCTCAGCGTGCCTTCTGATATTCATGCTGCTACAGTACTATTCTTTTATATCTGTTATGGACAGCTGTGGCAGCATCCTCTGTTACATTATTCATAGACTTCTCTTCATTTCTAGCTTTGTTTTATGTGCAGTTTACTAAAATGAGTGTTCTTGTATTACTTTAAACTGGAAGCATATTGTGTCACATGTTTTGGTGGTTGTTATACATGTTTATTGATTTCGAAAGAGTTTATAGTGAGTGGTTTTATGAATGTTTTCAAATTTGTTTACTTGTTTTATTTGTTGTGCGTTGATTAGTTTTGATAAAAATGACCGAATGATAATTAGTTATGAGTATTACATTGTTGCGGTAGTTGGTAAATGTGGTTGTATGGTGAGTCCTATAATTGGTTTAGACCATCTTTTCTTTAAATGCAATCTTTTCTCAATAATAAACAACTTTGTACATTCAGGGGCTGTTTGGCAATTATTTTGCTATAATTGCAATTACTTTGTACATCCAGAGGCTACTTGGTTGCATGACTTTTCTCAATAATGGCCCATTTTGCAAGTGTATTGTGTAATTATGTTTTTTTTGTCATTCTTTAATCTTATGGTTAATTTTATTGTGGTAGTTGGTAAATAGTTGTGGTTAGCTAAGATTATGAGTTAATTTTGTCATGCTTTTTGCATTTGCTGGTAAATAGTTTAAAATAGGCAGGACTATTATTATTGTGTTTTTTTTTGTAATGATGGTTTATATTATGGTATTTTTGTGGTGGTCAGTAAATAATTGTGTTTGGATAAGAAGATGGTAAAAACTATTATGTTGTTGTGGTAATTGGTACATAGTTGGATTTGAGCATGCATACGGCATGGTTTGAGTATGATTATGAAATATATAAGTTTTGTAGATAGGTTAATATATTTGTGGTATCATATTTTCAAGGGATATTTCAAAAATTTAAAAGTTTTTTACGTTGATTTCAATTTCTTTAATTAATATAAAGCAAAGGGAGCTTGGTTTTTGAATTGGGCGAATTTTAGAATGGCTTAGAATGTAATTTAAGGGTATATAATTTTGAATTGAGCAAAACTTGGTTTTTGTTCATTCATTGAGGTAGAGATTAATTTAGAAATAATTTATGTCATTTTGTTGTGTGATTAAAGTTGTTTGTGATTAAAAATTTTTATGAGTTTATTCCAATTTTTTAAGCAAATAGTTGTATCACATAATTTTAAAAAAAAGGGTTGTAACAACTGAAACGAAATCATTCTGACCCACTTTATTTCACCAAAGTCATGACAGTAAAAAATGCAGGTTAGACTTTTAGCTTAAAACATGTCTATGTTCAGTGTTTGATTATTTCGTGTTCAACAACAATGTTTGTTTTATTTTTTTTTAATTGTACAGTGCCTTCAAGCATGGATTAGGGGGGTAGTTTAGGCTTTTAGCTTAGTACACGTCCGAGTTCAATGCTCGATTTTTTTTTTGAATTACAAGGCAAGGGTTATCCCTAGTTTTATTATAATCTATTTGGGGTGTATCCACAACCTTATTTTTCACGTTGTATCAAACCGCTAAATCCATATTGTATTGTACTTGTATTCCATTTCCGTATCCGCATCCGTGCTCCCTAGTTTGTGGGGAATATCCTAATTTCTCTAAAAATGCATCCATGCAAGCCATGTTTCTTCTTGAGATGCAATTGTCATTAGTGGTCGTAAATATATTTTGTAGTGTTTTTAGATTTGGCTCATTCTTCTATTTTGTCAATGAAAGGGTGGAATGTTGATTTTGTAATGTCTTTATGTTTGAAGCTTCTCATTACCATCATAACTTGATATTAAGTCTCACTTTCAAATGGTGCAGGATTAAAATGCCTGAGACCTATGTCGTGCACCTTGGGAATAGCAAAGAATTGATGGAAGTAGCTGAGAACAATGTGGCAAAAAGAGTTCTTCGTGAGCATGTCCGAGAATCCTTGGGAGTGCGGCAGGAAGATCTGCTCTTTGCTATTATCAACAGTATGTTATTCTAGTTGTTGCTTTTTGTGTCTTAGGTTAGTTGGTTACAGCAATCAGAAGTTCATATTTTATATACTCTTATTTGCTAGTGTAATCCTTCTGTTTAACGGAACTGTGCTTCCTGTCTGGTTTCATGATATTTTAGTGGGGGTTTTTGAACCCAAATCCATGCTGACATTCTGTTGTTGTGGTCATTTCATAAGTTTTGGGTATAAGTTAATTCATTATATTCGTATGAATCCTAGGTGCGAAAACTTGGAAATCTTTTATGCTTGGCCAGCCTTGGTGTTGGAAAAGAGGGTTTCTTATGCATCTGGTGCATTCTTGAGGAATAGATTCCTTGGATTGCCTATGATTAGCATGAACACTTCTATGTAGGCCTCAAGTGCATATCAGACTGTTTTCAGCATGCTTGGACACGCCACCCATTTTAGTTCTAATTTTTGATTTGTTGTTGCCAGTATGTATCTATTTTGCTATTTTCTAATTATGCTATTAGATTTGATATAGTTTTTTTTGTCATTTGGTTTTTACCATGTGAGTTCATTGTTTCTAAGCACTGGGTACTTTATGACCGCAGGTGTTTCCCGTGGAAAAGGTCAGGATCTCTTTCTCCGTGCCTTTCGCGAAAGTCTGCAACTCATTAGAGAGAAGAAGCTGCAAATGCCATCGATGCATGCTGTAGTAGTGGGAAGTGATATGAATGCTCAGACCAAATTTGAAAATGAACTGCGAAGCTTTGTTGTAGAGAAAAATATTAAGGAACACGTTCACTTTGTCAACAAAACCCTCAATGTGGCTCCTTATCTGGCGTCTATTGATGTTCTTGTTCAGAACTCGCAGGTATTTCTGCTTATTTGTGTATACCTTCGGCTTTTTTGTGCTGAGTTATGTTGTGGATAACCGATTGCTGTAATATGTTTGCCTCTGCCCCCTGGCCCGGGGGGCTACCCTGGGTTGCCACTTACGGGTTGATAAGGAATTAATCTGGTTTTTCAACTTGCTGAAGTTTGCTCTAAACAATCTGAGTCATGGCTGGTGCATGTTAGCAAGTTTTCTATTAATGATTTCAAAGTGAAACTCAAGTAATTTGAGACATTAGATGAGACCCAAAAAGAGCTGAGGTCCAATAGTGGATCAACAGTCTACAAAAGATCCTGTAAAATCTTTATTTGGAGGTGACCAAGAAGCTATAGAGTTGAAGGCTCTCTTTGCCATAATTTTTTCAATATAAATATTGAATTATTCTCCACAACTTGCTTTCATTGCTCCAAGACTTTTACCGGAGAAGATGGACGAGTCTCTTTTGTTAATAATGGAAGCAACTATGAGATTCCCAACTGAACTGAACAAGCTCTCCCAAATTCCAGATAACAAAGGCGAGCGGACAATAAAGCAACATGTCAGTATAGGGGCTGAATTCGGGATTGCGTGCCTTTTGGCAAAAGTTTGTGCATCATTGAACTTCGAGATAACCGAAGTTTCGACAAGAAATATATACCATTATTTTAGACGATAGCTTTTGAGTACCAAGCAGGTTGCCATTAAATTGGCATTGCGTTTCCATTGCCGTTTGTTTTACTTCTACTCCGTGCCTTGTTTTCCCATTCATTTCCTTGCTTTCATGCATTTCATTAGTTTTCTGGGCAGCAGCTTAATTGTTTTGTTCTTGTTTAGGCTCGGGGAGAATGCTTTGGAAGGATAACCATTGAAGCTATGGCCTTTCAGCTGCCTGTATTGGTAAACCATTTACTAGCACCTGAACTATTGGTCTATATGTTAATTTCAGTTTAGTCTTTCCAACACCAAATTGTAGTAGATTTTCATCTTGTTAACTTTCGGAGTGGAAAGGAAGATTAACAGTGGGGAAAGGGAGAAAAGACGGTCAAAATGCATACAGAGCCATCATATATAGTGCATGTCCCCATGTAAAATGGGTTTTTCTTTAAGTGATTCTCTTTTGTTCTAGGGCCATCATAAATAGTGCCAAAATCGACCCGACCACTTCCATCCCTAATAACGTCAGGTGGTTGTGACTCGTGAATAATACTAGAATATTGCGATGTATTTGTACGTCTTAGGAGGTGAATAATGCCATTCATTTGCTTTGAGCGGCTTGGTCTCTCCACACTTCACAACTAGCATTTTAACTTTTGCATACGATTTTCTTATCAGGGCACAGCTGCTGGAGGCACAAGGGAGATAGTGGTAAATGGAACAACGGGATTGTTACACCCGGTTGGGAAAGAGGGTGTGACACCTCTGGCGAAGAACATTGTGAAACTGGCCACCCAGGTTGAGAGGAGGCTGACTTTGGGAAAGAACGGCTATGAGAGGGTGAAAGAAAGGTTTTTGGAATGTCACATGTCACATAGAATTGCTTTGGTCCTGAAAGAGGTATTGCAGCAGGCAAAAGAGCCACACATAATGTAAGCTTGCAAATACCTTCGCGGAAAACAATTGTCCAAATCATGATTGCATTCATTCTCAGCAAAGTGAAAACTTTCATGCTCAATCTTTTGTTCCATTGGTAACTCTTTTAGATGTAGTCCTCCTCCTCCTCAGTTTGTACATCACCATCCTTGCTATCTTGTAGAACCAGAAAGCACTCACCAACTGCAGTCCCAAAGCCATTGCCTGGCCAAAAAAAGAATTGAATGGTTATGATTTCTACATATTACTAGATTTGATCATACCAATTACTCGATGCCATTGTCATCATAGAGTCGATCATAACAGTCTGATCAAATCTGGTATACAAGAATCTTGTCTATAACGAGGTCTAAATACCCAACCACTACAACTAATAGTCTGAATTACCTTTATGAGAAATGGGTTGTTAGCATATAGAGTCACATAGGCGAGATAAGGTCCACCAATCATCCTTGCAAATGTGAAGATGCCAGCAAATGAAATCTGTGGAATATAGCAATTTGACTTGTAATTTCAAAACATCTAAATGTGCAAAGCAAAACTGTAGAGTTTAGTGTAACACCATAAAACTCTCTACAGGGGTGGGTGGAGCAAAAATTTGAAACTTAGTTTATTCAGATCGTCACGGGTAACATTGTCACGAGTAATGCTACTTAGAACTAAATTTGCTGATTAAATTCGTCGACTAAGTTAACTAAGGTCATGGGGATTAGTTGTGGTTTTGTATAGTAGGTGTTCACTGTCAATCTGACGGTGGCAAATTCAATCAATAAATATAGGTCAAGAATAACATTACTACATGACCACCTGTATAAAACATATATTCAATTTAATGTGGCATAAGTATAAACCAAAGTTTGCTGCACTAAATTCATTTACATAGGGTGTGTTTGGGTAGCCAATGGGAGATTGGATTTTGAAGTCCAATGTCATCCAACCAATGTAACAAAGTTCGGCTAGTGGGGTGAAAACGTCTCCTGGTCCCATTCAACCCTCCATTTGGGTAGGCAAAATGTCAAGTGTGGGCCCCATGCATCAGCTGAAATTTTTTTTGGAAAGAAACGATTACACAACACACAGGACTAGGACTACATCAACAGTGCTACTTAAAATTGGTAGTGGTGAATGGCCTTATACACACACACAATCCCAAGACTATTCGACGTGGACATCAGTTGAATTTGATGCATGGTGAAGTGACATTACTTTATAATAATTTACCATTATTCCCTTAATCGGAGCAATTGACCAGTTAAAAGGGGGTCACTTTGGTAATTTTCTTTTGTTATCGTTGTTGGCAGTAAAGCTTATCCCACATCACCCACCATGGGTTATTGGTATCCACTTAGAAGGGAAAAAGTGGTTTGAGTTAACTATGAATTGAAACCCTACTTTTATCCTATCATATTCTTCCGAGCTAAATGAAGGATTTGTGGGGTCCCGGGATTTTTTAACCCAATCCAAACATGTAATCCCCTTTTGTCCATTGAAACAAACACCCCCATAATATGTAAATGCTAATTAGGCCGGTCAACAAATCGAGTTTAGATCAAATTTTGATTGATTCGAATTTGATTTCAAAAATTCGATTCGATAATTCAACAGATTTTATTTTCGTAGTCCATATCCAAATCTGTTATAATATAAATCCGATTCAAAAATTTGATCTGATTTAAATAATTTAATTAACTAAATTTAAACAAATTATACCTCAATTATTACCTAATTTCTTTAATATTTATATAAAAATATATAAATAATTCGGATTTGATCATAATCGAATCGGGTATAAGTATATCTAAATCAAAATACGTTAAATATAAGATAACAAATTCGGATTTAGATTTGGGTTATCGGTAAAAAATATTAATTCATATCCAGATTAGTTGGATATGAATTCAGATTCGAATTCAGATCAAAATCCGATCTATTGAAAGCCTAGCTATTATGAAGTCTAAATGGAAAAAGTTCCAAAAGGGTCTAGAGAGTTTGAAGTTTGAACTAACATCAGCTGCCAAGTTAACATCAGTGTCCTTGTATCCAAGCTCTTTGAGAAGCTCCCTAAGGTGGAGGAATGGACTTGAAATCTCTGTAATCCACAAAGCTGCCACCATTTCTGATCCACACTGCACATGAGAAAGGCTGTTGAATCATCATAATCACAGAAGAAGGAGGTGAAGAAGAGAGGCATGCGATGTGCACCAAAACTTACACTAAATTTATTGTAGTCGTTGGATCAATAAGTTCCATCCTTGATCCAACGACTACAGTTGATTTTGTGTAAATTTTGGTGCTCATAGAATTATCCAGAAGAAAAAGAAGATACATTAAAATTTAGAGACTAAGATGGAAATTAAATTTGAAGAACACCACTACCCTTTCATAGGCAAGGCCTGCCCCAATTCCCACAATGCTGACTAAATGATGGATGGAGTTGTCAAGCTTGACATTCTTGTCGAAAAGGGAACATATTAGATCGTAGATGAGATAAGCAAGTGTCACTGCTAGTGTTTGCATCTGCACAGAGTTCAAACGTCATCATCGTGACAAGATAAAACAAGATTAAACTGATTAAAACGATAAATATTTATTGAAATGTCTCTTAATAATGACTAATGTTTGCTCGCATGATGTGAGAGAACAATACCAGCATCGTGTTACACCCTGAATGACGAAAATACAACAGTTAAAAGCATCGTAGGAATAATTGTGCATACCTTACTTGGCCGACCACACCTAATTTTCTTTAGATTTTCACAACTAAGAATTTAAGTGGTCAATTTGCTAAAAGCAAAAACTCATTTTTCTTGTCCTCCTATTTGGAGATTCTAGTATGCTTTTCTTTTAGTTTTTTCTTTATTTTTCTATGGTGGTTTCTTCTCTATTCAAATGCATTGTTCTTTCTTTAATGTAATAGTGATTTATCATTATACTAGTCATAACTCGTGTCTGAAGACCCGATAGAGTATAAAAGTCGAGTCTCAAAAAATCGAATTCACTATATTAAATAATAATTTTTTTTCTTTCATTTCTTTGATTACATCATTTAAAATTTATTTTCACCTATTATTTTCTTTAAAATATTGATAAATTTTTCTCAAAAAACGTAATTTAATAAAAGTTTTTCAACATATGTATATTATAGTGTATGGATAATATTTGAAATAAAATTTTTGTTAAACTACAAATTAATCAAATATTAAATGATTGAACATGTGATAGAAATTAGTGATGTGATAGTTTTGAAAAAAATATATATATAGGGGATAAAATTTAAATTTTTATGTGTTTTATTATATAGATATACCAACAAAGAACCATATTCTCTAGAAATCACGAACTAATTTCTTTTTTTATTATCTTAATTTCAATTTTTCTTTACCTCTTTTATTGTGATTAATAAGTTTCACATTATTCGTTTTTACTAGTGCAACAATAAATTGTTTATGAATGTGTTCAAACCAAATGAATCAATTATCTATTAATAAATCTCAAATTAATTAGTATTACTTCAACTTTTTTATACATGCTTATCAACATCACTAGAAAGTTCAAAACACAAGCAAAAGGAATAAAAAAAAGGGAAAAAGAAAAAGAAAGTTAAGGCCAAGTTTCAAAAAAACAATAATATTCAAAAATTATTTTTAGGAAGAGTTTTAGAAATGTGTGTTTTAGTTTTTTTAAGTCACTGAACTTGTTTAGTTATATGATTCCAAAAACAGTTTTATATAATAGAAAACAGTAAAATTTATTTGTACAATAACCTAGAAAACAATGAAAATAAAAATGTGAAAATAAAAATGTGATGGTGTTGGTGGTGGTGGTGGTTGTATTTTCTAAATTCTAGAAAAATTATTTTTAAAAAAACACAAAACAGCCTTAATGTGTGAACTGCAGACGACTTCGGTGGTTCCATTTCTTCTTACTGTACTTCTTGGTTAATGCAACGCGAATGGGAAGAAGATGGTCAGCCAAACTGCAGCCCATTTTATACATTCGCTGAGTGGACCAATCAGACATTTTTGAAAAGGGAAGGGAACTTCTCACTAAAGGAGACAGTAGGAATGAAGGAGACGAGAAGCAACCCTTTTAGAATGCAAGCTTATCCTTGACTTTTATTTTATAAATCTACTTAACTTCACAAAACAAAAACTAAAACAAAAACAAAAAATAGTTGGCCAAACATTTTTTCACCCAAAAATTATTTCTAAAAACAGAAAAATAATTTCAGAGATGGGATCTAAAAGCTCCAAATTTCTTTTTGACAAATGGGTCAACTCTCAAGTCTCAACAGAACAAAAGTCTAGAGAAATTTTAAAGAGGAGCTTACCGAAGAGGTGAAATACCTGTTGGGGAGAAGATTTAGAAGCCAAAGGACAAACTGGGCACCACCAATCTTGTACAGAGAGAGAAGCTATGCTTACAGCTAAACATGCATGAATGGTGGAAATGATTCGGTTGCAGAAATCAAAAGAGCGTTTGTGGAAGATCCTTCTTGACAACAAAAATGCTGTTGTCCATGAGATTACACTGAATACAATCAAGTATATGATACTATCTTCCATCTATATACACCTTTTTCTTCTTCTTCTCCAAGGGGAGAGAAAGAGAGAGAGAGAAAACTTATGGAGAAGAAAGAACAGACCTATTTTCTGTTTATCTCCAAACAGATAAACACCCAGATGAGATCGATGGAAACAATAACAGACACAAAGGTTTTTTTTTTTTGTTTGTCAATGTGCTACAACGGAAACAGAGAGTTAAGTTGGTCCCGTGTCTGTATTAAATATGAGATGACTAGTTAGAGCATCTCTAATAGCATATTTAAAGAAAACTTTAAAATAAACAGTGAAATAATTTTTTTAATTAGAAAAATAGATGAACAGATAGGTCACACACCACATATCTATTAGAAAGCATTGTCTCTCAGTACCTCACAGCTATCTACAAGAGACTTATCTCACCTGCATCAGGACCGAATATAAGGTCCCGTCGTATACTCTGGATGTTGAAGAGAAAGTTTAGTCTCTACGAACTGCCGTAGTTATAGAAACTCGAACACAAGCATTGATCGAACAAGAAAAATCAAATTTTTACTTGATAATGAAATATTTTTAACGAACCCAATATGACTCTCTATTCCAATATTAAAATATCTCATATAGTCAAAGCATTTAATGAAACACGTATATGTGTTATTTTTTCATTCATTAGTTTTGGAGTCGAGAATGAGTTTGATTCTTCAAATGTGGAGAGTCAAATTAGACTCTCTATTTTAGCTAATCTAAAAAAAAAACCTTATTGGAGATGGATTTTTTTGTGGTTGACTCTTTAAAATAAAGTTGAGTGAGAATAAAGAGTCTATTAGAGATATTTGGTGCCACTTAAGGACCATTATTTTATGTATATTTTAAATAATTATAAATATATTTTAAGTATATCCAATTTATCATTTTTTGTTCTATCAATTAATATAGTCTCATATATAACACTTTTGGACGCATTTTATGAATACATCTATATAAGTTTTTAAATTTATGCGACTCACTTTTTAAGCTATCTAGATTATGAAAACTAAGTTGCATAACTAAATGAGTGATTATTTACCGACGTTTTGACTTTTTTTGTATTTTGTGATTCTTCAAGCGTCGAATACAATACAATAAATGTAAATATTTTATTTTATATTTATTGTTTGAGAGAAAAAATTTTAAAGTTTCTAAGTAAATTGTCTGCCTGGAACAGAATCTCCTAAGATTTACTTTGTAATTAAGTATAAAGGGTGTGTGGTTAGAACAATTTTCTATTTTTCAAAAAAATAAAATAAAATAAATTAATGCACAGTTGAACTACGTTGTAGGTGTGACTGGGTTGCATTTGTGTTCTTTAAATGCTTGACCAAACTATAGTACACAACATTAATGCAGCATAACTGAAACTGACCAACCACAATGCATTAAAAACTTGCATGACCTAAGAAAAAACAGTAATGCTAGATTGATTAAATTTTGGGATTAAATTTAGAGCACAAATGACATGACAGTTGATTTGGGCTTCTTTGATTGGTGTCATATCATTTGGGCCCCCATAAAAGTTTCAAATAATCAACTGTCATGTCATTTGTGCTCTAAATTTAGTTCCAAAATTTGATTGGTGTAACATTACTCAAGAAAAAAAGTTGTTCAACAGTTGAGCTTTCTACAGCTATTGGCTTTTGTGTTTTGAACAGATTATATTATGTTATCCTCATTTTAGTATTGAAAATCTTTACAAACTCCAACAAAGCCAGTCCTCCATAACAAGAGAATGCAAGAGAACCAAACAAGTAGTGCTCCAAATGGAGGTTTCGTATCGGATTCGTGTTTGCAATCTAGTTTTTTATTGTGTTAAGATTTACTTAATTAATATCTTATGTGTTTATCGTCATAGGTTTTTGACATGTATAATCAAATTGATTCATTTGTTAAACCAATTCTGTTGATTAATTAAAATTACCCAAACTTATTAAAACTAAACCCATATACCAAAATTGTGTGTCATGCGAGTGAGCCAGTTGAGTGCCAACCACGCTACTTGGAACAGTCTGCGAGGTCCGATGGTAACCTGGAACGGCAAAGGGAGACCCCGGGGGAGCGGAAGAACGATCCAGTAAGGCTGAAAGAGGTCCCTGGAACAAAGAAGAACAAGTTAGAAGGGCGCCGGAGTGTTTTCCGGCGTATCCCCTCCGACGATCTAGTCAGTCTTTTAGAAAGAGAGAGGAAGGAGAAAACACTGAGTGTGTATTGTTGTAAAGAGTTTTTTGTTGCATCCCCGTCTTGCCTTTTGCAAGGAGTATTTATACCTCAAAAACTCATGATTGCTGTCAGTGTAGTCAGTAGGTGATCATTAGGTACAGGCAGTGTGCGCACTGATTCTGATGAGGAATGTCTTCTCTTCTTAACTGCTCGGGGTTCCGAGCAATCAATGCTGGGTCATCGGGATGCCGATGGTACAATGTACTCCTCTCGGGGAGGATGCAATAAATGCTCTGTATTAGGAGCATTTATTGCCTTTCACTTCCGAGCCTTACCGCATTGAATGCGGTCTCATCAAGGGAATGGTGTAATTAATCGTTTGCTTTCCCAAGTCGCGTGTCAGCAACGGCATGCGGTTTTTCTGTCTTTGATGTGATATCATATGCCACGCGTCCATCCCCCATTGGCTGTGGACCCTGCATTCCAGTACGTTCTGACACTAATTGTGTAAGACGAGGTCATGATGAATAGCCTAGACTAGCCTAGGCTAATGACCTGTACGTCAATAGCTTATCCTGGAGTAGAGGAGACGTCCAGGACGGTGTACACCTCGGCACCGCGGAAAGGCTCATCTCGGAACCGAGGGGGGATACCGACCGAGGCACCATATCAGATCGAGGCTACGTGTTGGTTGTAAAACGTACTGAATGCCATGATCCTATATGACGAGTACCTCGGGGGCGAGGACCTTTATGCGCCGATGGTGCTTGATCTTAGCAACAGTGTTTTGGTAAAACCGAGGACACGTGTCTTCATCATGGAGTATTTCAGAAAAGTCCCATCAACTGCCCCCCAGCCTTCGATCTTCTGACACCGAGGGCACGCGTCGTAAGGAGACGAAGGGTTTCCCAACAACCACAAATGCTTCATCATTGCCTCGAGCCGCTTTCCCCGGCTTGGGATGTCGTGTGCATTAAATGCGCCGTTTTGTTTTTCGCGCCCAATGATGAAATTGTCACTATATAAATGGGGCTCCTCTTCCATTTTCTTGTTTCACCATTCCGAACTTCCTCAAGAGAGCTTTTTCTTGAATCTTCACCGGAGATCTCTTTCCTCTTCCATCGTCGACTGCCCATTCTTCCTTAAAGTCCTAAGGCCAGCAGACTCATCGTTGCTTCTGAACTTTCTGGAAGAAGTCGCCTAAAGTTTTCAAGAAAAAACTCCGTTTGGCATTCGGGTGAGTCCTAGTTTCTTTCTTCTTTTCTTCCTCCTATCCCTTTTTGTTTTCCGATGACTGGAGGTGTCTCCGGTTGATACTTAGCGACTAATCCTCGAGAAGCTTCCTCAGGGATTTTTAAGAAAAAACACCCTCCACTTTCTCACTTTCTTTGAGATGCCTCGTCGTCGCCCTGCTCCCGAGAACCCTCAGGCTGGTTCTTCGGGGGTCGGGGAAGTATAAAGTAAAGGGTGGTGAGCAGATTAATAGGTTTAAGGTCAAGTACGGCATTCCCCCGTGCGTAGACATAGAAGATTATGACCCGGTGATGCACTTTCCTACCCTCGGGGCCGAGGATGCTATGCCATTTTATACCAAGGCCATAATATAAGGAGGAATTAGATTTCCTTTACCCCCTTTACTTCTTCGGTTCCTCTCTCANTTTACCCCCTTTACTTCTACAGTTCCTCTCTCACTTCCGCCTCTTCCCCGGGCAGTGTTGCCTTATTGTCTTTANTTGCCTTAATGTCTTCAGAATCATTATGGGGGTCTTAGAGCTCAATAGGCGCCTCGAGGTAAATATCGGGCTGAACGATCTCCTTTTTTGTTTTTCCTTCTTGAGAGTCATGTCTCACCAACACTTCTACCTCAAAGNGATCTCCTTTTTTGTTATTCCCTCTTGAGAGTCATGCCTCACCAACACTTCTACCTCAAAGCCAGGGACCCCTTCATGTACCTTGTAACTCATTTCTCCGACTCGGACAAGGGGTACAAGGACGANACCAACACTTCTACCTCAAAGCCAGGGACCCCTCCATGTACCTTGTAACTCATTTTTCCGACTCGGACAAGGGGTACAAGGACGATATTCTTATTTTCAAGGGATCTAGGCAGAGAGGTGTTGGTCCCGAGTATAACGGTTTGTTATGCCCTCTGAAATGGAGAACGACAAGTACGTATGTTCCTTCGNGACTCGGACAAGGGGTACAAGGACGATATTCTTATTTTCAAGGGATCTTGGCAGAGAGGTGTTGGTCCCGAGTATAACGGCTTGTTATGCCCTCTGGAATGGAGAATGACAAGTACGTCGGTTCCTTCGGGTTTATTATTTTGTTCTCCAGACTCCCGATGTTCATGACTACTTTTTTGTTTTGTGCAGATATTCCTGCTCAGGAAACAGCTCCTCCCCCTCGGTCGCTGGTGAACTTTGCCGACCTAGTCACGGTTTGGAGATTTACTGGTGACAACGGGTTCGATCGGGCTGCCCACATCCTGCTGAATTACACCCCCGGGTATAAGAAATTTTCACAGCTTTCTCAGCCTTTTGAGCCTTCGCGGTGGTCTGAACTCTTCGATCAGGCGGCGGGGCAAGAGATNTGCAGATATTACTGCTCGGGAAACAGCTCCTCCCCCTCGGTCGCTGGTGAACTTTGTCAACCTAGTCACGGTTTGGAGATTTACTGGTGACGACGGGTTCGGCCGGGCTGCCCACATCCTGTTGAATTACACCCCCGGGTATAAGAAATTTTCCCAGCTTCCTCAGCCTTTTGAGCCTTCGCGGTGGTCCGAACTCTTCGATCAGGCGACGAGGCAGGAGGTCGAGGAAAACTTGGAGGAAGACCCTGATCGGGCTTCGGAGGCAGAGGTAGAGGGAGTTGTTGAAGAGCTCGGGGTCAGAGAGGACGTTGTTCCTTCGGACGCCGAGGTGGGGACTTCGGGAGGAGACTTGTGGCCAGACTTCCAAGTTCTTCAATCTCTAGACGCCGAGGACGCCCTCGAGGTCGCGATGTCCAACACGCCTCGCATTGACCTGGGGTTCCTGA